GGATTTGGGGTAGACACAATTTTGCCCATAACAGTGCCCCGAAGTGGGGCAAAGGAGGATCTGACCCCTGTAGTGTCTGGGGTAGAAAGCAGTAGCCACGTTTTCACACTGAACAGTGGGCTTCCCCAAAAGAGAATGAGATGGTCACAGGAGGAGAGGGCAGGAGATCTGCACAGCCAAGACAAACATCCACATTCCTTCTAAGAAGGAGTGGGACTCTATTCAAAGACCCTCCCTCTTCTTAATTCTCAGTGTGAACTCTCAAGCTTCCGTCCTTCACCTCTGACCTCGGAAACTGGGCCACTGCTAGTTCCCCAGTTGCAACACCGATGGAACCCCATGTACCCTTTCCATTTTGTGGACCACTCCCTGGCTGATGAGCTTCCTGCTTTCTCTTTTGCCCCAACTCCTTGGGCAGCTGTTTTTCCTTTTCACAGGGTGTGAAAATTTGTGCCAAGTTTCTCTTTTCGGCTTCCTCTCCCTCTCACGTTTCTCTCATGGTCCCCCCTTCTCTCCCGGGATACTCTCCATAGTTGGATACAGGGACACTATAGATCTTATCTGTCCTCTGTCGGGAGACCTTCTTCCCCCTATAATGCCGGGAGGCTATCAGGCTAGCAAGCACTTTGCAACTGAGCTGCATGTTACCTTCCTCGGATTTCTGCAGGGGTCAGCATGGATCTCCTTAATAGAGGGGGAAGAGTGTGAATTTGCACATTGTCTTGGGAAAGAACCTAAACTCTTATCTAAAGTTTAGAACATCAAACACGTGTGCCTCCCAAACTGCGTCGTTTGTCCTAATGTGCCTTCTGAGGTTCGGGACTTCACGTCAAACTGATTTCTTGACGTCCTCAGCTGACATCTCCGCAACTGCCTCACACTCAGCAACAACAAAAGCTGAGAACACGGTCCCCCTTCGCAAAGCTGCCTACTCCTCCTGGATCTCTCATGGAAGACACCACCACCCTCCTAATCAGGAAGGGAGGAGTTGAGCCTCACCCAGGCCCTCCCTCTCCATTACCTCCAACGGACAATCATGCACTCAAAGTCTTGTCAATTCCACCTTCTTGGCTCCTCTCTTAGGTTCTACAAATGCATAATCACTTTTAAAACAGAGATCTTTTTTGTTTGTTTGTTTGTTGAGACAGGGTCTCTCTATGTAGCCCTGACTGTTCTGTAACTCACTATGTAGACCAGGCTGGTCTTGAACTCATAGAGATCAGCCTGCTTTTGCCTCCCAAGTGCTGGAACTAATGGCATGTGTCACCATGTGTGGCAAACCAGAAGACCTTTAAAATCTAAGCCCTTTAAAATCTAAGGCCTAAGTTTCAACTAGGTAGTTGACATAATTTCACTCTTCCCTGTTTTTAATCTCTCTGCCCTGTAACTCACTTTCCAGGTGATTACAGTGCTTTTAGATTTTTTAAATATGACACTAATTTTTTTATTTTTTATTTTTAAAATGTATTTAGTTAGGGAGCTGGAGAGCTGGCTGCTCTAGCAGAAAACCTGGGCTCAGCTTCCAGCACCCACATGGCAGCTAACAATCATCTCCAGCTCCAGTTCCAAGAGATCCCAACCCCCTCTCCTGACCTCTACTGGCGTCACACACACACACACACACACACACACACACACACACACACACACACAGTGCACAGATAAACCTGCAAACAAAACATCCACACAAGTAAAATTAAAAAAAAATACGATTTTCTTTTGGGACTACCAGCCCACAAATAATGACACAGAGATGTGTTGTGAATTATGAAAACTTGCCTTTAGCTTAGGCTTGTTCCCAACTAGCTCTTATAACTTAAATTAACCTGTTTCTGTTCATCTACATTCTGCTACGTTCTTTGCCTCTCCTCCATTCTGTAAGTCAGACTCCCTCCATGTCTCACTGGTGTGTCCCGCATGCCTAGATTCATCCTGAGTTCCTCTCCCTGCCAGGAAGTCCCGCCTAACCTCGGCTGCCTAGCTATTAAGCGAATCACTACTTGGTGCCAGACCCTAGGCTGAATATTGGGAATAAAGCCGTTAAACAAAATGAGCAGACCCCACGCCCTCCAAGGCCTTACGGTCCACAATGTGATGAGTCATACCGAAGCAAAAGTCTCAGAGGTCGGCTGTGTCGCAACTGCTACAGCTCAAGTGTGAAATGTCACCCACAAGCCCTCAGCCTCTAGCTGGTGACACAACCCTTAGGAGGCTGTGAAGCCTTTAGGAGGTGAAGTCTACCTGGGGGAACTGGGCGGGCCAGCGCTTCAGGTTCGTAGCCTCACTCTGCTTCCAGGCCCTTTGCTCTTTTTGCTGCCAAGCCATGAGTAGGTGCATCATGTTGCTCTGTAAGAACTTTAATCTTACCCGACACTGTAAAATGAATCCTTGCAACAACCCCAACAGCATTCCATAAAGGACTACTCAATGAGCAGTCATAAAATCCCTCTGGATGCTTCTTGCCTGTGACGATCAGAATGAAAAGGGCCCCCATAGGCTCACATATTTGAATACTTGGTCCCCAGTTGGTAGAACTGTTTAGGAAGGATTAGGGGGTGTGGCTTTGTTGAAGGAGGTGTGTCACTGGAGGTGAGCTTTGAGGGTTCCAAAGTCCATCCCCAGTGTTTCTCTCTGCCTCCTACCTACCGATGAGGATGTAAACTCTCAGCTACTCCTCCAGCCTGCTGCCATGATGGTGGTGAACTTACCTACTGAAACTCCAAGCCCCAATAACCTTTCTTCTATACGTTGGCTTGGTCATGGTAGTATCTTGTTACAGCAATAAATAGTAAATAGGATGTGATCCATACTGGGCCCCTTTCTCTTCTCTTCTGTTCTCTCTCCTCTCTTTCCTCTATAGCCTAGGCCCATGCTACTAGCAACTTTTTCCATCATCAGAGACGAAATGAAACTCAAAGGAGGCAAACTAAAGTGGAGCCTTATGCCACAAGTTAGCAGAAAGCCACCAGGAAGTTGAAGAACAGAGTGTGCCTGGGAACGCATACCCTTTACCTTAGAGACTGTCCTCAGGCAGATAGGCATCCTTTTTTTTTTTTTTCTGTTTTAGGTTTTCTGGACAAGCATCAAGGCTCTATAGCAAAGTTTCCAGAGCCTCAGCTGTATTTTACATGGCGTGAATTTATTAAGCAACATTAGAAAGGCTGTCTGGATCGTGCCCATTGCCCACCTTCATCAGACATCTAAACCATGGGCCACTTAGAGAGGGGCTTCTGCAAGAACATCCTTTGGAGGGCAATGGGCAGCAGTCAACTAGCTCTACCCGCAAGCAACACAAAACAAAAGTCAAAACTTTTGAGAGAAATGATGTTGGTCTGATTCTGGAGTAGAGAGGGCATTAGCCCAAGGCGGTGGTCAGCAGGACCCTTTGGCAGCCCCTCAACCCTTACTAAGCCTCGTTTACCCTACTTAAATTGCTCACTCAAGTCAGGTGAGAGCTGCCCAGATCCCCAGGAGCCCATTGGGGGACCAGCCCTACCAAACAGGATCATTTGATTTCTTTTGTCTGGGGGCTGAGTTGAGATGACTGTCAAACACTTAGCTTTGTCAAGGGGAGGTTGAGGGAGAACAATGTGTGAATACATTAGGGAGGAGGTGAGACTGAGATGTTAACCAATCTTACCACTTCCTATTCCTCTACTCTCCATGTTTTCTGTTGAGGGGCCCGCACTTGGGCCTTTTGACCTACAGACCAGCCCAGGCCCAGAGAAAGACAGAGCTACCCTGAGCTACTGTGGTGAGCACAGCCCCAGCCACCCTAGAGTGAGGCTAGAGCTTCTGTCCCATCGGCTTTCTGCTGATTGCTTGCCATGAGGTGAGCAGCCTCCTTCGCTACGTGTTCCTGCAACCACAGGGTCTTGCCTCATCATCGGTTCGACACATGGAGCTAAGTGGCCCTGGACTGGAAACTCTGGCCCCCTTTGCAGCTCAGCAGAGAAAGAAAATCCCCTGAGAACGGTGGCGTATCCAATAGGGATGCCTCTACTTCCCTCAGCCCTTTACTGGACACTTGGCTGTGACATCAGCCGCAACGGCTGGCACTCAGCACAAGCCGCTGCTGTTTCATCCAGAAACCCACTGCCAAGTCGCCCACAGCTCACGTCTTCGTCTTGGTTTCCCCACAGAAGAAGTGTGTGTACTTGGTGTGCTGGCTGATTCCTCTATAGAATCAATGAAATCATACAGAGGGGGGAAAAATGTTTAAGGAGTTCCTGTCCTTGCCTGGAGCTCCCGCTTTTCTGTGATTCTCTCAGCCTCCCATTGTTGTCTCCTCTTTCCAGAACATGTCTTTCTCCCTGTGTGAGTTTCTTCAGAAAGACTCAAAACAAACATAATAAACAAAAACAGGAGAATTTAGTGATCAAATTCACGCACAGAAGTTGGTAACTCCTTTGGATTATACATCCCAGGGGTGGACATTTTGAAAGAAAATGTAGGTCAAGATACTATTGAAAAGATGTACTAGTGGATTGAAAGGTTTAAATTATTATTTTATATATAAATATACATTTATGTATTTTTTATATATGTGGTTAGACCCTGGGTTGGATGTGGGCCAGGCAGGAGACTAATGAATTCTGAGAGAGCCAAGGGACCCCTGGGACATGGCCTTGGCTGTGAACGCCATCATCAGGTCATGCTGTCCCAATCTTGGCCCTGGTTGCCCTGAGCCTGCCCAAAGTACCCTCTGATAGAGTCTGTGTGTGTCCCCCAGATGCTCAGCTGTGACAGACATAGAATAAGTGGACCCCCCACCCCCCTCACCCCCCACTCCCCCACCCCCCTCACCCTCCACCCCCCCCACCCCCCACCCCCGGTGTCCTCTCCAGAGGCTCTCCCTCCTGTTCCTAACCCTGCCGCAGGGCTCACTCATCAGAGTTTACATCAGGAATCAGATGATGATGTTTCTGGAAAAGGAAACTAGTGAGAGAGATGGGGGAGGGGGGTTGAGAGGGTTGGGGAAAAACTATTTACTTCCTCTCTTCTAGTCAAATAGGCCCCTTAAGGGTTCCGGATCTCTGTGGTGGCATTTTCTGTCTAGTGCGGCAGCATGTGGCCACTACTACTACCAACCGCTCTGCTACTTTCAGGTAAGTGGGGCTCAGTCTAGATGAAGGTAGAGTTTATGGTGGTCTGTGTTCAGCAGAGACCTCCCCCCTTTTCAGGTCAGGCACGGAATCCCCACTACGGGCCCAGATTTAACTCCTAGGACAGCTTGTTAGAGATGAGCAGCGCCCTGGCTCTGATCCGTTCTTCATCGGGGGTGGGCTGTGAGCTCGCCCATCTGGGTCCCCACTTCCCTAAGTGGAAGCCGAAGAGCAAGGACCCTGCCCTCCAGTCTGACACCCCAGGTTTCCCTTTCCTTCTCTTTCCAGGTGGGGTTAAAGTGGTGTCTGCGGCTTGATTTAGGGAAATGCAATCTTTACTTTTAACCTGACAGTCTGAATGAGGAACAAGAATAAAGGAAACGGTGTCCAAGTCTAGGATTTGAGTTTCCTGCAGGACAGGTCCAGGGCATGGGAGGAGAGAAGGAAGCAGCCGGAGCAGAGGTAGGGGGAGTTGCCCTGCTCAACATCTGATTCGTGCTTCTATTTTTTTTTCCCCTTGCAGTTTCTTCTGACATTGGAGCTGGTGAGTCTGCTTCTGAGTCTTAGATTGGTCAAGTGCGGTACTTACAAAGGCCACAGAAAGTTGGGAAAGGACCATTGTATGGTGTCTGGCATGTCTGGGAGCTGGGAGCAATACCCTAACACAGTTGGGATCAGCCCTACGCATCTCTGGCCACTTTTTCTCCAACTACGGAAAGGGTCAAAAAATGGAGCCAAGTGCTTCCCTGCCTAGAATGAGTCGTAGACAGGCTGAGAGCACCAGGGGTTTGTTCATTCCGCCTGGGTTACCCTGGGAGTGCCAGTCAAGGGCTCACTCATCTGTGTCCTCACTCCGTATTCTCTTGACTCCTCATCAGGTCTCCAAAAGGCTGTGGTGATCCTAGACCCTGAATGGGTCAGCTTGCTCGAGGAAGACAACGTGACCCTCAGGTGCCAGGGCACCTACTCACCTGAGGACAATTCTACCAAGTGGTTCCATAATGGAAGCCTCATCTCACACCAGAGCGCCAACTATTCCATTAGAACTGCCAGAGTAAATGACAGTGGAGAGTATAAGTGCCAGACAGCCCTCTCCATGCCCAGTGACCCGGTGAGACTTGAAGTCCATATAGGTGAGTTGAAGGGAAAGAAGGGCCCTGAATTACTTGGGGGAAAGCCCTATGGTTTGGGTTAATATGGAAGTGAAGTGATATGTGTTCCATCAGATGGGAACAGAACTATGGTTCTCGCTGTAAGTAAGCCCTAAGCAAAGCATCAAAACCTTTCTTGCAGTGTATACAGGATGGAGACATTGAATGATTCCAGGAATTGGCATTTTCACGGAGCACATACAACATAGATATGTGCTCTGAGGTCAGGGCAGGCCCCGCAACATTCATTACTTAGACTAATGAATGTGTTCTTAGGATCTCAGTTTCCTTCTCACTCTCAGATATTACACTCAAGCTCATCTAGAAGGCCAAAACAGCGGCCCTTCTCCATTTCAGAGCTTTCGTAGTCTGTTACCTATGTTACACTAAGTGTTACATCACTTAGTGTCTGTCTGTGCTATATTCCCATCAACGCTATGCTGAAACTCACATGTTAGCACACACTTGGACCCTTCCAGGGGTGCCACGTCTAGTACAGCTCCAGAGACAGATCTGACTAGGAAGGAGAGGGAATAAAGAAAAGATAAACACACATGGACACCCAGAAAAACTGGGATCCGATGGACTGGGCTCTCTGATGGAGAAACCACAGCATCCAGGAAGCTCAGCTTGTTTACTATATAGAGTTGAACAGGGAGTGGAGCTACTGCATACAGCTGAGCAAGGAACCTGGGTTATCACACACAGATAAACAAGGAGACGGGCGTTCCTGCTGTATACAAATGATCAAGGAGGCAGGTTTGGCTAATCTAGGTGGGAACCGTCTCCGTAGCTGTCTTCAGGCCATAATCATCCAGGGGGAGAGAGCTATGATGGGCATTTTCTGCACACACTATCAACGTCCACACTCAGACCATCCCTCTAAATCTCACCCTCTAGAGAAGGCTTTGCCATTGGCCCATGGGTCTGAGGCTCTGGAATCCTCAACACAGCTGTGTGGAGGTGTCTATACACTCATCCTCTGCATTTGTCATAGGATGGACATGTCTGTGTCCATTAGCAACATCCTGCTATCACTAGTGGGTAAGAGAACTATTTTTTTCAGGTGTAGATCTTTCCCAGCATTCTTGGAATGACATCAAATACTGTAGGTTTTACTCTATTTACCCAGCTGTCCCTTTTGTACAGTGTGAGTTGGTGGACAGGTTGGGGGGCAGGGGTAGATGAAACAGAAGCAGCTCTGCAGTAGGGTCCCACTGAATTAGGCCTATGGAATAGCTGGGTTCTGTGGCTCCTTTGCCTCAACTATATCACCTGGACAGCATGGTTCTCACTCTGCAGAGCGACAAAAAGGAATATCAGTTAACCTTGTTGGGTGAGAGACGGCTACCTAAGAGTAAATAAAGTGAGGAATTACTGAGAGGAAGCAATGGGAAAACCAAGTCTCAGGGCTGGGGAGGTGGCTCGGCTGGAAAAGGTGCTTGCTGCTAAGCCTGAGTTCAGGTCCCAAAAGCCACAGGGTGGAAGGAAAGAGCCCACTCCTGGAAGCTGTCCTTGGATCTCTCGTAAGCATGATCTCTCTCTCTCTCTCTCTCTCTCTCTCTCTCTCTCTCTCTCT